GATGTTAGCATAATCTTCCAATCCATGGATTTTTAGAGCTCCATGCACTGTAGATTTGCTACAGTTTCAAATTTAAATTTATACTTAAAACTCAAATAACTTACAATCTAGCCCATGGATTTTTGACTTCTTGGGCTTGTTGGAAAGATGAAGATGTCCTCTTCAACTTTGGTGAAGACTCCAAGAGCTGAATCTTTTTGGATTTGGAGTTATTCAGAAATTTCCTGATCCTCTCTCTCTTCACCAATGAGTGTTTTGGAGACTTGGATTTGATGGAAAACAGTTTGGGAAGGCTAGGAAATAGTCTGGAGCAGCTCTAAGAGGAGTCTTAAAGCTGGGAGAGCTCTGGAGATGGATAGGTTTTTTGTTAATCCTTGGATTAGAATGAATCTCCTCTTTTTTAATCCCCTCTCTTTTTTAAAAAAATATCTTGGCCAAATGGATGGCTATGACTGACTTAGAAGCCTCCTTGATGCATGCCATCTGGCCTAGAAATGGGTGAGAGCAGGAGCCAAGGACAAATGCAAGGACACCTACATAGAAAGGTGGTCTTGTCCTCATTTTCCCATGTGGAAGTCATCCAAACCATTGGACATTAATCCAAAGGTTAATAATCAGCCTAAAAAGTCTCTAGAAGAGCTTAGAGATGTTGGAATAGAAATGAGTGGATTGGTAAGGTTTGAGCTAACTTGAGTCAACCCAAATGGACATTTAAGCCTATTTCAAGTGAACTTGTTGACTAGGTTGACTAGTCAACAAGTCAATAGGGTGAATGATGTGGACTAGGAGAAAGTTATGGGTGGTGGTCAGGGCCATTCCAAAGTTCATGTAGGTCATTTGGGTTAAGAGGACTTAATGGGCCCTAAAGCCAAAATTGGTTGACTTGGTCAACCAGGTAGGTCCAGGGTCTGGAAATGGATTCAACAAATTTCAAATGATATTTAGAGTCTATTGGATATGGTCCTAGGGTCTGGGGAGGTCATTTGGTTCAAAACACCTGTTTGGACCCTTAAAGGGCCTTCTTGGGTCAAACCTGTTGACTTGGTCAACGAGGTTGACCCAGGGGTTAGGGATGGGTCCGACAGGTTTGAAATGACATTTGAAACTTTCTAGAGGTGGTTGCGTTCAATTCGGAGTTCATTTGGTTTGAAATCCCTATTTGAACCCCATAGAGGTATTTTGGTCATTTTGACCCCTGGTCAACTAGGGGTCAAAATAGGTCTAGAAAAATGCAGTTTAATGTTTAATGAATCATAATCAAGGGTCTGGAGGTGACTAGAGGCTTTGGAGAAAGCTCTAGGATCATAATCTTCTTAATGGCAAGTCCAGTTGCCTGGGCTGTTAATATTTGAAGGTTTTGCAGCCTTTGGATTTTGATTAAGTTTCTGGGGTTAGAGACCTCAGAATGGGCTCAAGTTTGGAGGGTTTCCTCCAGAGACATGTCCCATCATTATGCAATTGATAGACCCTGAATCAGAGGTCATCTGATAGGGTTTCAAAGTGTTTAAATTTTCACTCAAAAAGGCCTTTAGGACATGACTTCTAGACTTTGGATTTGAGTCTGAATTTTGGAATTGATCTAGATTTTGAGTTTGATTGATTAAGTTTGAGTATCCAAATCATCTATAATCATTTTGGTGATTATTAATGACTGGATAGGATCAGAGCTAACTCACAGGTAGGATCAATACCTAAACTGGAGTTTGAGTTCTGAACTGGGTTGGATTTTAGATTTTCATTGAGGCTTGAATTGAATTTAGATCTGGATTGACTTGGATCAGGATCGATCTAGAATCTAGATGGATCCTTAATGACCTCATACAAAAATGAGGTCAACAACATGACATGGCATGCATAGTAAAATAAGGGCACTTGTGGGAAGTACATATTGATATCATAGTACTAGAATGATCTACATGTTAACTACACTAGATGCATACATGATCAAGAATGCATGTAATTATCATTAGTGAGCATATAATATGGCATGCTTGTGTAACTGTAAGAAAGGTTACCTAGTTATTGACTCATTCAGATTGGCTAGAGCAAGATACCCTATATAGGAAGCTGGCAAGCTTTCTTTTAAAAAATGTATTTTTGGTGTAATCCCAATATATAAGGTACAAGAGAAGATAAAAGATATGAGTCATAAAAAAACAAGATACACTAGTAGCCAGGAGTGACAACTCTTACAAGAAGCCACCCTATTATGACTAGTAGGGTCAATCTATAAATCATATGATTTGTTAGATATCCTAAATAACATTAATGTAAATATGTTACTATATGCATACTTGCCATGATTTCATATATATGACATGACATGATATAACATGATATAATATATGCATAAAATTTATGATATGACGTGATCCATGAACAGGATATATGCTGAGACTAACATATGTACAAGACACATGATATAGTGATATTAAAATATGATGCATGATACATGTGATATGATACATGGTATTTCTATATAATACATGTTATGAACACATGATAAACATGTATTGGTATAATTTGAAATGCATGGAAATAGATACATGATACAATAGACACACCAACAAAAATAAAATGACATAAAAAATAGCATCTATCACATTAATCTATATTGATAATTGATAAAACAAAGTTAGAACCCATTTGAACTGATAGACATGATAATTATACTAATACAACATATAAACTTCTAATCTAAAAACATGTACATGCAAAGACTCATAGTTTTATATGATATTGTAAATGCCACTAATATAGAAATAATGAAGTCTATTGATCATCCAATGACTATTAATCACATTAATTAACATTGCTTGCTAATTGATATTAGTTGCATTTATTTCTACTGCTCATAGTAATTATTGTTATTCATATTGATTTGAATTGAATGATTATATACACATTGTTTCTATTCTCGTGTATTGATAACAGTTGTAGGTTCTAAAAATCTATTGAGCATTGAACTAATTATATTTGATTTACACAATTTTAGGGGAGGATAAGGATTTGGTAGAGAGAAAATATTTCAATCAAAGATTACATGTATTTTAGTTTTTATTGTTTAATTTTTAATCATGAATGTATTAGGATGGATTGATGCAAGAAAGAATATTCATAGCTATTATGCATAATCATTTTGGGAATATGAACTATAAGTATATATATTTTAATAATAAATGAAAAAAAAGTTGTTTTCACTATATTCATTTATTTTGTATATTAATGATTATCAGTAACTCAAACAGATAATTACAAGATTTAAAAGAGAATTTTTTTTAAAAATTATCTTGAGAGATGACTGAAGGGGGGGGTTGTTTAAATAAGACTTTGGTAGATAAAACTCCAACACTTTGAGAATTTTAGAGATTTGACCCTTAATACCCGACATTTTCCATCACCATTAGTGTTGCCAGCTACCATCACCATCAACACTAATGGTTGCCATTGCCAACACTTATGATGCTCGTTGTCACCAATAATGTTGATGTCCACTATCATTAATAATACTAACACTAGTCGTAGCCACTAAGGTCGACATTCATTGCCTAAACAATGCCAACAAAATTCTAATGCCACAAACAAGGTTTGATGCTTGCCATCATAAAAAAGATCAACGCCTTCCATTACTAAGAAGATTAATGCCGACCGCTACTAATAAAGTCAACACCTGTCAGCTCTAACTAAGCCATTTCTTATGTCGCCACTAATACAAATGCCAACCATCACCAAAAGAATTAACACTCATCATTATCACCAATACTAGCACACATCATCACCATCACTTAAACTATCTTCATAAGACCAATTCATCTAAGCAAGTACAAATACCAACCTACTTAATCATCAGTCTTCAATCGTATAAGAAGAACAACAAAACAATTTTTAACTCCCAGCCAAAAAAGCATATTTCACAATTCACATCTACTAATATATATTAATGTCATGTCCATTTACCAAAAAAATAAAAATTTCATTTTGTATACCATAAAAATCAAACTAATTGAATTATTTGAACAAAGTCAAGGCCAATGATTTTGACCCTTTTTCAAATTTATTATGTTAAAAATCACGTGTTGTGGGATGCTCTAATATTATTTATGGGCATACAACATTATTATTCAATCCTGTGATGATAAACCCCCTTCATCTCCTCAAATGCTCCATAACACAACTATTAATCAAATTGTTTTCTAGTTTACTTAAATTCATCGCAGCCCCTTTCAAAATTTTAAGATTATTGGATATCTGGAAAAGACCATATGGTGGCAAGACAAAAGTTTGCGTGTAGCATGCAAGGGCATCTCCAACCGAAGATCTCTTTTTTTTGTTCACTCCAAAATGTTGTGAAACTAAAAAATGCTGTAATTCATCTCCAATCAAACTACATTTCGCCCCCCTTCTACGAAAGCAACGGTAGTTCTCTTCTTTCGCACGTTTCTTCAACAAGTTCGGTAGAGACAAAAAAAAAACTGAGATGAACATAGCAACGCCAATATTGGAGTCCCACTATTCACCAGAAACCAAATAGCGGAAGTTTTACCGTTCGGTTGGAGCTCGCGAGCAATACCATTCAAGCGTTTGGAATTTGATTGAAAATTCCCTAAGCAAGATCAGTTCAATTATACAAAATGATTAAATAATCAAATAAACCAAGCAAACACCCGGTACAGAAAACCTAGTGTAACTCTGCGTTTTACTATTTAAATGCTCAACATATCTCCTCCCATGGCCATTTCCTTGTTTTCACCCAAATTTCTATCATTAAACTAGATAAAAAATCAAGCCAAGTAATTTTCTGAACATTGATATTCAGCAATCAGATGCCATCGAAAGACTGCAGCCAAGAAATGTTGGGTAAGGGGGGCAGAGAAAAAAAACGGAATTACAACACGATGGTTGTTGACCATAATACAACATATTGCATACAAAAAGATAAACATTTACAAATTACACCCTGTTTTTTTTTTTTTTTTTTTTTCATCGTACACCCTGTTTTTTTTTTTTTTTTTCTGTTCATCGTAAGAGTAAACCGAGTAAAAACGTTCCTAGGAACATTCTCTATCTCTGAATCAGGCAATATCTCTTGACGTTTTGCCAGTTTAGCAATAAGAATCACTATATTCAATGAGTTGGTATGAAAAAGGGAAAAGATTTATAGCAATCCAAGTGACTTCAATTGTTGTGCATGCTCTGGAGGAACAGGTGGTGGAGACCAATTCCCATCTGTCATCTCATTGTCTACATCCTCCACCACGTATTCCTGCAATTAATCACGCGTATTGAATAATTGGTAGTATTCAGAATTATGTTTTTGAGCATGTCGCATAGCAATAAATGTTAGAAATTATTAACTAGGCTGGTATGGCAAGTATAGATTAACCTACGAATAGAGTGATACTTACTTTGGTTAGCATCCTTTTAGCAAGTATGTGATAATGCCGCTGCCAAATTCTCTGACCAACCATGGTGGCAACAAGCACACTGTAGAATATGCCTACAATGGTGAATAGACCCAACACAATAAGTCCCATAATGAAAAGAAGAGGTAGCCCAGCTTCACCGGCACCTCCTAAACAGCCGCATTCCCCGGCTGCACTGGCACAACTCTCAAAGCATGTAGTGCAATCTGTCCACATGCAAAGTGTGCCAGGTAGATGGCAATCTGCACACATTCTGAAAGAGAGAAACTTCAAAATATTGAAGCATATCCAAATAGTCTTAAATAGATTCAACATACACAGTTCAATTCTTTGAGAGACCTCCATAACATGCTAAGGCAAACTACCAAGATATATATATATATATATATATGAGAGAGAGAGAGAGAGAGAGAGATTTAAAGTTGAAAGCGCAAGAGATTTTTTTTATTTTTTTTTTAAATTAACCCAAAATTCTTACAAAACTATGCACGGAATCTATAAGATAGAAGCTGCATTGATATAAAGTAATTCTCTTTTTATAGAAAATTACAAATCAGAATATTTATTGGCGTAATTAGAATTTTTTATTTCACAATTATGTCAGCACCAGCATTAACACAAGCACCAAGCCTTTCATTTTCACATCTCCATCCTAATTTCTTCGTACCTTGACAGAATCATCCATATTGATTATGTCAAGATAAGAATCATAAGATTGTAAATAAACATTCAAATTCATACATATGTGCAATATCATTTTGTCACTCTTCCATCTGAGGTAGAACCTTCCCAGTTAGCATCATTGGACTTCAAACCTCTCCACAATTTTTTCTAGAAAAAAAGGCGTTTTTTTTTTACTTCTTCAATTCTGAGGTATATATGACAGGTAAGCCTCAAGATGCTCTTTCTTAGAAGATTACATAAATTATCTCACTAGGCTCGTGACAAAAGCTATCTCAGACAACGTTTGGGATCTATTGGTGTATCAGACTATATAAGTAGATCAAAATAATTGATCTCAAATTAAGTGGCCAAACTTTCCCTCAATTGACTAAACTTAGTCAAATCATTATCTATTAAGATAAACGAAGAGTTCTATTCAACCAACACTTTCGAGTCAAAATTTTCTTCAAACCTTAATGGAATATCCATATAAAACTTCTTCTCAATCTCCATCGAGGAAGGAATTCTTGACATCAAGTTATTGTAGAAGCCAATTAAAATTAAGTGCATAAGTATGATTTTCATTAAGTTAAGTTTTACCACTATTGCAAATATCAATATAATCAAATGACCTAAATTTGTGTGAACCCCATGACTAACAATCAGAGTCTCATCGGAATTGAACTTCACAGTGAACACCCATTTACACCCAATAATTGTCTTTCCATTGCCAGAACTACCAACTCTCAAGTCCTGTTCTATTTAGGTGCTCTCATCACCTCAAAAAACTGCTTCATTTATCCCGGGTTACAGAAGACCTCGTTGAGTTTTAAGCAGTTGCAAAATCTGTTATTTTAATAGGAATAGTTTCAGTTTTATTATTAGAATTCAAACTTGCGTCTATCCAATTTAAAATTAAATTTTGTCAGTTTAAATGAAATCATTTTCAAACAAATCCAAATTATCTTAAGCCAAACAATATTGTGCTCGCAGCAAATTCAATTATTCTTGTTGCAACATTCTTGAAAAAGACAAATTTTCATCAAAGTTAGAATTTTGAAAAAATTAATCTTTGTGATATTTCCAGCGCCACCGATCTTTACAGCAGAAGATAATCAGTGGCATTGCTCCTCCCTCCTAGTGAGACGGTCCCGTCGGTCACGCCCCTCCCATAATTGAAACCTCCAGGACATCACATGTCTGAAGTCCCTCCAAAGATCTTGCATGCGGGCTGTCAGCCCGTCTAACTCCTGGGTCATGCCAGAAGAGCTCTGACGGTATCTCCTAAGAGACTCTGCACTGTTGTCTAGTCGATCATGGGCGTTGTCAACCACCGCCCTACGACTGACAACCCTCTCCTCTAACTGTGGAAGTGTAACTCTGGCCCGAATAATCGAGAGGGGCTTCAGTCTCCAGACGCAGGACTATCTCTCGACACATCGCCTCCCAGAAAAGTAGCTTGTTGGTTTCTGCCCTAAAATCAGCAAGGAGGCCGAGCCAGTCAGTGGAACAAACAAACTCGACCCAAAACTCCAGAGATCTCGGGTCAATGAGAGAAATCAAGTCCCTCAAAAGCACTACCAAGCAACTACATCTGTAGTGGTCTTGGGGTTTGGTAGTAAGGGAACGTAGCACTGAAGATCCAAAGTGTAGTCAACTCCCGCAGGCACTACACAAATAATTGCAAGCAATTAATATAATGACATATATAATATTGTATTAAAATAAATTAACATGTACCTGTCAAAGGGCTCGCATAATCGGCCTGGTAAGTTGCAGGAACAGGAGGGCTCGCAGAGTCAGCGGGATGACTCTCGGGGAAGAAAGATAACTCCACAAGCACCAAGATTAAGGTCGTCGATGTGTGCGAAGGCTTCCCAAAGAACTCTGTAAGTGAGGCTGCACCGACCCTTGAAGATTCCTCAGGCCAAAAAGACTGGTAGGGGTCCACTAGAAAAAAGAAGTCGTCAGTCTGTCCCTGTGTACTATAGCACGTGAAGCCTTACCTCATCGGCCCCTGTGAACCCTCCCCAAGATCCTTGGGAGGAGAACGAACGTAGACCTTCTAAAGAAGTGGCACGCTGAGAACCAACACATATGCAGGAAGGCCAAGAAGTATCTGTGCGATGTGGCACAGGTGTCACAGCCAGAGCTCTGACTAGAGAAGGATTAATGGCCCCAGTAGTAGTACGGGCCTTAGTGTGTGTCACAGCACTAACGAGACATATATCAAATGATCAAATATTTATTAAATTAAGTGCTGACAAGAAAGAAATGGGAGAATGGTAGAGAAGTACATCTGTCACCAGCAGCCTCAAAAAAGACCCGACGGAACCAATGTCCCCTTGAAACTCTAAGCTCCCATACCTAGCGCTCTTACCTCCTAGCATCGTGCTCTAAGACATGTCTGAAAGATAGTCATACCTAAGACAACTGAGTGTAGCTAACTCCTGTGTGACTGGACGAATGAGCTAAAAAAAACTAGAACATATCCCAAGCCTCAACAAGTACAGCCACGTCAAAGCTGCAGCGTGGAAAAAAGTCTCCTGCGAGACGGTGTACATACTCCGCACATCTGCAACTCCTGGAACCAGTGGTCATCCATCGTATGTTGTAACCTGAGAGAACCCGAACTGTCTAGCCACCCTATTGGGCTGGTAGCGCTTCAAAGTGACTGTACTGCCTGAACAGTGACACAATCAACCTGGGTACATGCTGATCAGATACTCAATAACCGCTAGAACTTGCCTGCTACGTATGAGCATACACCTCCCTTGCCGGTCATGCCTGTATGTAACTACTGTGCCCCTCAGGTGGGGCGGCAAACTGACTGCATCTAGCAGGTATACCAAGGAAAACCTGTTAGTAACAAGGTGTGAGGCGAAGAAAATGAGGTGAATCCTCTCTGACTCTAAGGTTGCACACACCTGGGACAGCTGAAGTATAATTGCATATCCCCGTACTAAAAAGTACAGAGGACACTTCAAGCAAGAAAAGGCTCCAAGTATGTGCAGATGAATCCATCCATATAAGTAGTGCCATAGAAAGGTTTGGTTCGGTAGCTCAAGTGAAGTTGCCTTAGAAGCAACCCGGAGAGATCTGTAAATCTTTGCAAGTATTATTGGTGTCAAAGAATGATGTTGCCCCTGTGACAACTGGGTGCCGGCTAAGAGAGCACTATAGCTAACAAATCCTACCCTTAATGAAAATACAAAGGTGCCGAGCCAGGTAACTAAAAATCGTGTCAAGAACAAGTCCTCACCAACGCCTAACAAAGCTGGAGAAGCGTGATTGGCTGTAAAAGACGGCTCGATAGTCTCCTCAGACAACAAATCGTTGCGCTGCAAGATGAGACCGAATGGGTCAGGTTGTGAAGTCGCAATAGTACTCAGTTAGTCATGCTGAACAAAACTACAAACCCAGAGGCATGCCCTACTCTAGCACGTGCTAACAACTCTGAGGCTCTGTACAGTCGTCTGTAGGGCTAAAAGAGCACATGATAGACATCCAACACCATCAACCTGTCTCTCCTGTCTCCATCTGTTGAGGGAACCCGACAAAATAACTACTCTGAAGGCACATACTACTCAAAATGGTGTCCAAAAACTGGCAACCCGGACAATATCTGCAAGTCTGAGAGCATCACAGTAAGCTCGTCCGCTCCAACCCGAAAGGTATTGCTACTCGCATCCCAAAACTTCACTAAGATATGGGCCCATGAAATAGGAAGACGTCCGTAATCAAACAAAGAGGTATATATAGCCTCATAAATACCTACATCCTTCAATGTGCCTCTGTGTGCCTGAAGATGTACCGAGCCCAACAAATATAGCCGCTGATTGGGCTCTGAATTTGTCTAACGGTGGTTCCTCGGCCACTCTAAAAGTGACGATTGTATTTGACGGTGGCTAAGTAAGCTCGACTACCCAACTGACCCAACTATGTCTGCAGCAGGCACTAGAACATCACAAGTACCCCAACTGACCTGGGTAACTGAATTCTCAAGCAGGTGATACTCCCCGCACAGCAGTCTAAGGATGGTGACCCAACTGTCAAGGTTCTCAAATACAATAGAATCCATAAAACACTCTAAAAGTAGGGGAAAGCGGGTGAAGAAACTCTGAAAGATGTCACGCCCCCGCAGCATGTGCTCCTATAGCTCTAACGTGTCTCGAACATCTGTATCTCTCTGGGAATCCTGTCTGTAAATCACGTCCCAAATGGCAACCTCACTAGGCTCTCCTAGTGACAAATCATCTGGTCGCTCCGAACGAAACATTTTCCTTTACACGAAAAAGGAGAAAATGTGTCAAAAGTAGTTATAATAATGACGAATGTGCGAAAAGAAAGCTACTAAAGATCATCAACCACGTCGCAATAAACGTAATACACTTTAGACGTGTATCACATTTATTGGGGGGCTTGTTGACCCGTACAACTAGCCCAAAAAATCATAAGTTTCATAAAGATGATTTAGTTCGAATGTGAATTGCATTGGATTTCATTCAGCCTCCTAATTTTGAAAGAAAGAATATAGAGGATATCGGAGGGAGGCACTATGGTGTTCTGATAAGAAAAATATTTTTTGAC